TCCCCAGCCAGCCATGCTGGCTGGGGAATTCTGGGAGTTGAAGTCCACTCATCTTAAAGTCACCAAGGTTGAGAAACACTGATTTGTCAACGTCTCTTTTCTAACTCTCAGGAGCCTTTGCATTTCATCCAAGTATGGGGACAAATTCCCAGCAATAGCCATACTTAACATTTTCCCAAGCGTTTTTAAATTATTTTTACATTGCAATTTTTAAAAAAGAGTTGCAGGGAAAACAACACAGAAAAACAAATGGTAATATACACACCACCCAATTAGTTATTAAGTTATAACTTAAAATATACAAACCCCCTCAGAATTAACATGATAATAGATATAAATCTAAACATATACACATTTAATAGCAATAACATTTTTTCAAAAGGCAAGCTCTGGTATTACTATTATTAGTTTAGTTTAGTTTAGTTTAGTTTAGTTTAGTTTAGTTTAGTTTAGTTTAGTTAGTTAAGATGGAGCATTTGTTCTTTTGGTCAGCCATATTCCTCTTTTTATATGAATTGTTTTATTTGTAAGCCACACGGACTCCTCTTATTTGTTCATATTTATTAAGGATTTTCTCATACAACAAAAGACAAAAGAAAAAAAGGAAAGAAAAAGAGAAAAACTAAAGGAATATATGAATTACTTCCGACGTTCTTTTCAACAGATGATTACAATCGTATTATCTCTAAATACTATACAAGTCTCTTCAGCCTTGGTTTGAAATCGGTGCTTAATTCTTTTAACCCAATCCCCGTTCCCTTTTATGCTTGGCTTTTACAACTCATTTCATTCCACCATGAGGACTAGAAACTTCGAAACGGGCTTCAATTAATACTGTAATAACTTGAACAATGCAGCTTTCTGAGGTCTGGAGGGGTTGATACTTCTGTGAATCAAGTCTGGCCAGAGTTAAGTTTCTCTCGTGGTCAAAACAGTCTTGGGGGAAAGACTCAAAGAAAGAAAAATCTTGCACCCCAGGGCCATATTATGACTTGTGGGCCCTAGTCACTTCTGCCTTCGTGGGCCCCTCCCTCCATTAAAATTATATTAAAAATTATATTTCGTGTGATTTTCAGCATTTTCTTCCTATTTTTACGGAAAATAAGGAATGAAATTAAATCATATGTGTATTATTTTGTAATCGTCACTTGTTGCCAATTATGAGAATTGCTAAACGATTCTGGTGGCCATAATTATAGGGTGAGCTTATCATTTGACTGGCGCGCCTATTTGATTGGCAGTTCACGTATTTGCATTCTGTTGGGTATATTTTCAAAGCTGCAAGGCAAGGCTTGGAAATAAAGAGCTTCCTTTCTATTCTTTCCGATTGACAACAGAATTAAAGTTGATTTTTTAAAATGAATCTTGAAAAATGCATTGAGGGTGCCTATTTTACCTAATAATGGATGTTAATCCTGTTTTGTACCCCAGTCTGCCATTTTCACCAAATAAGGCAATAATTCTGCAGTAACCTTGCAGGGACACATTGTGCCCTGGGATTGTATTTCTGTGCCATTCGGCAGAGGGTGACGTTCCTGGCACAGGCATGAAAGAACCGTGGGCATTCCCAAAATGACTAAGGGCTCTTTGTGCCCCTGGCAAGCAGCCCAGTAGGACAAAGTTAATTTTCTGGGCATATTTACACAGCACATCCAGGCTGGCTCGTTTTACGTCCTTGGTCTTTCTCGTCCCTCCTCCCTGATGGTCGGGTTCAGATTTTGCACTACAAAATGTGGCTTGTTCACCTCTAGAGACTTTTAGGGCAGGGTTCCTTGACCTTGGCGACTTTAAGATGGGTGGACTTCAACTCCCAGAATCCCCCAGCCAGCTGTGCTGGCTG